GTTAGCCAAATGGTCACTCTAAGTCAGGGGTGGGGAACGCTTTTTCTGCCAAGGGCCATTTGGATATTGATAACATAATTCGCGGGCCATACAAATCTATCAACTTAAAAATTAGCCAAATTTGGTCAAACGTTTAATTAGCTCACCTGTAATGCCTTGGCAGGGCCAGACCAAAGGATTTTACAGGCCTTATGCGACCCGAGGGCCAGACATTCCCCACCCCTGCCTAAGTACTGACTGGACATGTAGTTTCTGAAAAGCAGGAAATCCAACTGCTAAACCAGCTTATGAAGATTTCTATTGATGCAGAAATTTATAGAAATAACAGATGTGTCCTTATAAAGATTGTTCTAAAATCACAGTGTGTCTAAATGTTCATTATGGCTGCCATAATTGATGAAGGTATACAAAATAGTGTGTGCCCAGGTGAGTGAGTATTCTGAAGGGGCCGGAAACTGTGCTGGAGGATGGTTGAAGCATCTGGAGCTCTTTAATTTGGAGAAGATGAGAGAGAGAGAGAGAGAGAGAGAGAGAGAGAGAGATTGATTTAACAGGTATACATTTGAAGGGCTGGCATGTGGAATAAGAGTTATATTTTGGGTTGGTCAAGAGGAGAAAAGTGGCTTAATGAGAAATTATAGGAATGCAGTTTCTACTTCACTTAGAACCATAGCTGTTGAGCAACGGGTCATGCTGTAGTGAAAACAAGGGCATCTCCTCTCCTTGGATGGGTTTAATCCGAAATTGGCTGATGGCCCTTCAGAGATGTGGTAAGAGCAATCCCGGCAGTACTTGGGAAACTGAGCTAGGGGACCTGAAATTGTTGTGCCTGAAAGCCTCTCCCTCCTAAACGTGTCTTCTTACGCATGAGCATCTGTAAATAAGAAGGCAGGGTGGTGGGAAGTGTGTGCGTTACAGAGGCATCGGGACTCTATTGTGTGACTGTGGGCTGTGTGACTGTGGGCAAGACAGCATTTCCAAGCTTCACTGTCCTTACTACCTTTGAGGGTTGTTCTGAGGTTTTATCACATCACTCACGTGCCTTTTGATGCATATGTGGATTTCTTTCTTCCATTTTCAATGGTATGGTTCATAGTCAAACATCTGGGGCCCATTAAGATTTTGAGAGTGCAATGTTGAAATGAGCTAATTCGCCTAGGCTGTAGCTGTAGGATTTCATTTGTTTTTCAAATAATAAACTTCATTAATATTTGATTAGATGCTTTGTGGCACAGCATCTCTTTTTTTTTAAAGGGAAAAGACAAGCTTGTTGTGTGTAGAAATAGAAGGAATCAGAAGCCAGATGGCCAACATCATCTTTGAAATTTGCAACTGCAAGATCATCACTTGACTAAAGTCTTTCCTCCCAATAGTTTATTAAAAAAAATATATATATCACACCAAAAACAAAAGCCAAAATACCACAAACTAGATTATTCAATATCAATAAAGTATCTTACCTTCCTGAAAGGTATTCCAAATTTCAGTGAAAAACAAGCAAACAAACCCCAGTAACAAGGCCTTTATTTTCTTTAAAATAGTAAAAGAAATTGGAATATAGCAGACTGAGTCAGTATAGGCTTTTCCAGCTGCCCTTTCCACCCCAAAGATTACAATAATTGGAAGTAAGTAAACACCTCACAAATACTCGAGTCTGTTTTTATAATTTACAAATAATTTCTTAAATCTTTGTTTTTATTTGTTAGCAAAGAAAGCTACTGTAATGGCAGATCAACCCAAATTCTTGAACTAGCCACAAAGATGATGTGTACTGAATTAGTTAATAGCCTTATAAGTAGATTTAGTCTTAATGATCACAAATTCTTTGTTATCTATTAGCATCCTATTCTTAAGCACTCTCACTACAGGCTGTCCTTAGAGGGAGAGAGATAGAAACATCAATGATGAGAGAGTATCACTGATTGGCTGCCTCCTGCATGCCCTCTACTGGGAATGGAGCCCTCAACCCGGGCATGTGCCCTGACAGGGAATCAAATGCTGACTTCTTGTTTCAAGGGTCGATGCTCAACCACTGAGCCACGCCGGTCCGGCTGCACTTCCTTTTCTTATCTGTGACACACACAATGACTGAACTAGGCAGCCACGGCCCGCAGCAGCCTCTGAGTGACTGCTGAATTGCATCCCCTCAATGCTATCTACTTTTCCTACTGGAGGTTCCAAGTTAAACACTGTCAGTATTCTGGGGACCACTTTCATACATGGTTCTACATATACATAATTTAACAAAAATGGGATATTTACGTACAGTTTTTACTGTGACCAAGTTCAACAGCATCAAAAGCATTTTTAGGTACTTAATTCAGGTGGCTATAAAGTAAAAAAAAAATCACTTTTCAGACCCTATATATATCATTTTTATATCCATGTATTTTAATCTCCTGAATGTTCATTACACTTTAAAGTATTTTTGTCCATGCTTGTGAACCTTTTATGGGCTCTGCTTTAAATAGTGCTCATCAGCCCTGGCTAGAGCATTGGCCCTTGCACCGAAGGGTCTTGGGTTCAATTCCCAGTCAAATACACGTACCTGTGTGCGGGAGGCAATCAATTGATGTGTCTCTTCACATCGATGTTTCTATCTAAAAACAATGGGAAAATACCCTCTGGTGAGAATTAGCAGCCAAAAAAGAATAGTGCTTATCACAGTGAGGTGTACATTCTCTTTTAATATTTTTATTAATGTAAATCTCATTAATAATATGCATTTCACAGTGCCAAGTGAGAGGACCCCATTACTCTAAAGCAGTGGCTCTCAACCTTCCTAATGCCGCGACCCTTTAATACAGTTCCTCATGTTCTGGTGACCCCCAACCATAAAATTATTTTCGTTGCTACTTCATAACTGTAATGTTGCTACTGTTATGAATCGTGTTGTAAATATCTGATATGCAGGATGTATTTTCATTGTTACAAATTGAACATAATTAAAGCATAGTGATTAATCACAAAAACAATATGTAATGATATATGTGTTTTCCGATGGTCTTAGGCGACCCCTGTGAAAGGGTCGCTCGACCCCCAAAGGGGTCGTGACCCACACGTTGAGAACCGCTGCTCTAAAGGATTCCTGAAGTCTGAGTCACAAGCATAAGTGCCAAGATCTGCAGGTTTGTGTGGTTGTGGAGATTTCCTGACTTGAATAGGAATTAGACAAAAAAAAATACAGAAGCCATAGAGGTGACAGTTTGGGGCTTATATGGTGGCATGATGGTGCCATAAAGGATCCAGCGTCTTTTAATTGTTCTGCTGTGTTTGTCGCTTTGTGACTAACTATGGTCGCTGCACCTCCACTCCTCCAGGAAGAGAGACAAGTGTAGGGCAAGGATGAGCCCGATCTGCACATGTCCATCCTCCCCAGAAGCCCCAGCAGCAGCTTCAACTTTCATCTTATTGGCCAAATTGTGTTAAATGGCTGCCCTTAGATATATGGGAGTCTAACAAGGTATTTTTTCAGCTAGAAGAAAAGGTTCCATTAGGTACTAGTCAGAAAAGGACCAGAGACTTCTACTACAGAAAACCGGAGCAAGCTGTCCTTATCCCATGACAAGAAAGAGGACTTCCTCTCATTTCAGAAGAGCACGGAAAGGGAATGGGTGATGGGGTAGGTGTCCTACCGCAAAGGGCCAGGTAAAGGAGGAGAGGCGTGAGGGACCCATCCTGCTGCGTGCGCGGCTGAGAGGAAGAACTTGCCCTTGGTCACGAACACAGTGGTAGCGAACCGTCACTAACCCTCCTGAAACAGGAAAAGGAGACCAGCTCCCCGGAGTCCCCTACATCATCTGCTTGCATCCTCTGAAGCGGACTCCTGGAGCCGTGAAAACGCACGTCTAACCAACTTGAACTTACTGCACCGGCTCCCAAACTCGGAGAGTGAGTGAGTCAGCTTGGGGCACTGCACTTAACCTTTGCGTTCCCACGCTTAAGCCATAAAACAGAAGAATAACACGGTGCTGAACACACAGTAGGTGCTGAGGACACACTTGTCAACTTTTGCGAAGGACCAAGAGGAAGGAAATGGACATGAACATGTGTTTGGGAGACTGCCAGTCGCTAGGCCTGTACCAGACGGTTTCCATACATCGCTCAGGGACTCATCAGCACGCAGTCAGGTAGGCATCACGGGCTCGATTCAGGAGTAAACGGAGGCTCAGGAAGGTTAACCAGTCACACTTGGAGGTAGACACAGGGTGATCTGAAAGCCTCTGCGCCTTATGCAATGTGCCCCACGGTCCCTCCGCCAAAGCTGCGGGAACCTTGCTTTGCAGACAGTCGACACTAGCCATTTTGAGAAGTCGGATTTAACATCAGACTTTTCCAGAGACAACTCTTAGGATAGAGGAACCCGCCCCAAATCTTTGGGGTCTGGTCCAAACAGGACATGCTAACGCTCGCTAAGCTAGCGGTGAGGCCTGCGTAAGGCCCCGCGGGCGCCGGCGGCGCAGGGGTGGCCGGGAACTGCGCCCGGGCTGTCCTGGGGGAATCCGGCGCGGGTGGTCGGCTGGTCCGGCGGGCGGGGCGTCGGTAGGGCCGCGCGTGACGCACTTCCGGCCTGCGGCTTCCGGCTTAAAGGGCCCGGACCTGGCTC